CTTTTTGAATGAATTTGCTATATATATATATATATATATATATATATTGCTTGGTTTTGCATGAGTTTCATTTACCCTTTTCCTTCATATTGGATAATGGATATTACCAAATGATTATAGTTTTTTCAACTTGTACTCTCTGGTTTTCAAATTTATTTTATTATCTTTTTTGATAAATAATAATGCCTTTTTTATATAGTACTTTGGAACCTGCAAGGTTATGTAGGGGAGAGGTGATACCACTCCTTAAAGCCAGGCCTTGAGGAGGGGTGAACTCCTATTTAAAATACGAGTTCCATGTGTTAAACAGTAATCACAGATAACATGCTCTCACTGCTGCAACAGTGCTTTCGTGAAAAAAACATTATTTAAATTTTTTCTTGATAGGTAGGTTCATTGGTGATCTTTTTCAGCCTGTCTATAACTATATATGAAAATGGATTGAACCTTTCTAGATTCAACTATACCTTTAGTTCTCTTGATCTCTTGCAGGTAAATATTATGAAGTAAATAAATGAGTATGTGATTTCAATTCTAAGGACGCTTGAATATAATGTTAATTGGGAAAAGTGGAAAACAGAAAGTTCAGTGCTTTGATATTGTGTTTAGAAGCTGATATGCAACTTGATGAGTTGACCCTTTAACGTAGGAGCTAATTTAATAATGGTATCTGATAGTTCAAACTTTTGATCCATATACTCTTCACCCTTGATCTAGCATGTTCATGAATGACTTTTTATCTTGTGATATAATCTGTGTGATACAGGGCAGCATTGAAACATCTGAAGTTGGATCGTGTAAAGAAATACGAGTATTGCTTGCCTTGTGAGTTTCTAGCTCTATAGCATAATTGATCACATGAATATGTATTCTAGTTGTATACTTGTATATGATAGTTAGTGGAGAGAAGATATAATATTACCCTTTAGCCGTTATGTTTTGATTTGTTATATCCTTTATTTGTTATTTTATCAGACTTCTACCAGCCGTTTAAGGAAGACGAACTTGAACAGAGCACCGAAGTTCCAATAATATTTCCAGCAGAGCCAAAGCCGGTAATTATGATTGAGAAATTTTTTGCCGAGTTGCCAATATTATTTGACATATTTACATGAGTGAGGCAGGTCAGTACCATATTAGGTAATTACTTATCTATCACTTTTTCAGTTTTTCTCTTTTTTCATTGCAGGTTTTCTGTGAATTTGATTGGGAATTAGATGAACTTGAGGTATTGAATCTTTTTTCTAATGTGTATAGTTTTGGATATCAGATTAAGCTTACCAGAGGTTGTATTTTATAAATTAGGGAGAATGATTTTATTTTTATAACTTAGTACTTACAATCATATAATAAAAATTATCATCAAGCTTGACATTATTTTTCAGGAACTTCTTGTTTCTTTGGCTTGTCATTTTTCAATTACCGTTGTCTTCTAAAAATAAGCAGGCATGTTAACATGATATTGAATTCTTAAAAATATGGACATATCTCCATTGAGTGATGCTGATTGTAAGAACACATGGAGTATGGAGAGGTTATTTTTGCAAATACTTTACCGGTGTTGTTTTGTTTCTCCACATTCAATCTCCTGATAGAGACTGTAAAGTAGAGGATAGCTCAAAAGGATATAAATCTGGAAAGAATATAATATATATAATATATAATAGGTTAAAACCCTTATTTGGTTCCTTATAATATTTTTTTGTTTCAATTTAGTCCCACTTTAATTTTTTGTTTCAATTTGGTCCTCAATAATTTAAATCATTGCAATTTAGGACTTCCGTCCAAATGATTTAAACGGAGTTAACTGGTGACCACGTGGATGCTACGTGAATACCACGTAGATGAACAGGTGGATGCCAAATTTTATGAATACACGTGGAACCAGAACGACCCGTTCTGAAACTAGAACGGTCCGTTCTGCTTGCACATGTTATGTGTTAATTTTGAAACTGGAACGGGCCGTTCCAAATGCAAATTTAACACAACATGAGTGCATCAGAACGGACCGTTCTGCTTTTAGAATGGGCCGTTCTGGATTCAGAATGGCCCGTTTCCAGAACGCCATGCTTTTTATTGTATTTTTTTTTCATTATATATATATATATTAATAAAAAATACAATAAATAAAAAATACAATAAATTAATATTATTTATGAATAAAACTAAAAAAAAAATCAAATAAATAAAACCTTCCAAAATCCTTCTTTGATTTGAACTTATCCAGTTCAAAATCTTGACCAAAATACCGCAATGTGATTCAAAAATTGAAAATAAAAATTCATAACATATTATAAATTCAAAGACAGAAACATGGTTCAGAAACTGAAAACAAAAATTCAGAACATAACATATACTAAAAAAGTTCAAAGAAATTACTGAGAATGCACATGAAATAACATATACTGAAAAAGTTCAAAAATTCATCCTTGATTGTATAGTATCAATTTAGTAGTAAGTGATTCATTCCAGTTTGACTAACAATGAAATAAAACCTGCTACCATTGTCCTTAGTGATACACTGCATCGTCCTTAATGATACACTGTATAGCCTAAATATTTAACAATTGAAGTTATCAATCCCCATTGGCAATATTACCAAATCTAGTGTTTGAAATGCTTTGTACCTTGAGTTTTTTTGCAAAATTCTGGAACTAGAACGACTAGTTTTGAAACCAGAACGGGCCGTTCTGGTTCCAGGTGTATTCAAGAAATTTGGGATCCATCTACGTGGCATCCATGTGGGCCACCAGTTAACTCCGTTTAAATCATTTGGACGGAAGTTCCAAATTGCAATAATTTAAATTATTGGGGACCAAATTGAAACAAAAAATTAAAGTGAGACTAAATTGAAACAAAAATATTATAAGAGACCAAATAAGAGTTTTAACCTATATAATATTAGACAAAGGTCTCACGCAAAAATTGTTCTGTATTCCACAGGAGTTCACTGGCAAGCTCATAGAGGAGGAGGAGTTATCGAGAGATCAAAAAGATACCTTTAAGGTATCAAGTAATGGGAAACCAATAATCAATTCAAGTTTTCTGTTACTTTCAAGTACCAGTTAGGCTGATCATTTAATTGTTTTAGGAATTTGTCAAAGAAAAAGTACGTGAAGCGAAGAGAGCTAATAGAGAGGTATTTTTGCTTTTGGTTCTGCCTATAATGTGTTGTTGGCTTGTTGCTTTATGCCTTTTTACCTATTTTGTTTTGTCTCTTGTAGGCCAGGGAAGCCCGAAGAAAAGCCATTGAAGAAATGAGTGAAGAAACTAAAGCTGCATTTGGGAATATGAGATTTTATAAGTTCTACCCGGTGCAAAGTTCAGATGCGCCTGATGTATCAAATGTTAAGGTTGGTGTTTGGGCATTCTAATGCAGCTTTTTGCAGTTTCAATTTTCAAATTATGTTGACATCTTAGCACAACATTAAGGCGTCAAGTTATGCCCTTAAAAATGGTAATCTTTCCCTGTTAAATTCAAGACTTATAATGAATGTTAAGGAAGAGTGACTAGGCCGCCACTCCTCCATTTCCACTCTTGATATGGCAGCATACATCATCTGCCTTGAGAGCCCATCAGCCGCCTTATTCTCATAACCTGGTTTGTATTGGATTTCGAAATCAAATCCCAATAACTTGGTCGTCCACTTGTGATGCTCTTCTCCCAATAACCTCTGCTCTGTAAGAAACTTGAGGCTCCTCTGATCAGTCTTTATAGTGAACTTCCTTCCCATCAAATAATGCCTCCATTTCTGAACTGCCACCACAATCGCCATCAGTTCCCTTTCATAAACTGACTTGCTCTGGGCCTTTTCAGAAAGTGCCTTGCTCATGAAGGCTAAAGGTCTGCCCTCTTGAAGCAGCACTGCCCCAATCCCTTTGCTGGACGCATCTGACTCTACCACAAACTGTTTGGAAAAATTTGGTATGGCCAGAATTGGTAATTCGACCATGGCCTGCTTTAGTGCATCGAAAGCCTTGGTGGCTTCCCCACTCCAAACGAATGCTTCCTTTTTTAACAATTCAGTCAGCGGTCGAGAAATCACCCCATAGCCACGAACAAATCGCCTATAATACCCGGTCAGACCCAGAAACCCCCTCAAACCTTTAAGACTCGTAGGTTGAGGCCACTTAAGCATGGCTTCTACTTTGGAAGGGTCAGCTGCCACCCCCTTGACCGAAATAACATGACCCAAATACTCCATTTGAGGCCTTGCAAACTCACACTTCTTTCCATTAACCATCAACACATTTTCCTTTAACAAATTCAGCACCTGCCTTAAGTGGTATTGATGCTCTTCCAAATTCCTGCTATACACCAATATATCATCGAAAAATACTAAAACAAACTTTCTCAAAAATGGCCTCAATACTTCGTTCATCAGCCCTTGGAACGTTGAGGGTGCATTAGTAAGGCCGAAAGGCATTACCAAGTATTCATAGTGCCCTTCATGCGTTCTAAAAGCCGTCTTGTGAATATCCTCCTCTCTCATCCGAATTTGGTGATATCCCGATTTCAAATCCAATTTGGAAAATATAGTGGCCCCAGTTAGTTCATCCAACAACTCATCAATAACTGGAATTGGAAATTTATCTGGGACGGTTACCTTATTTAGCACCCTGTAATCTACACAAAACCTCCAACTCCCATCCTTCTTTTTAACCAAAATTATAGGACTAGCATAAGGGCTGATGCTAGGTCGGATAATTCCGGTTCTCAGCATATCCTGCACCAATTTTTCAATCTCATTTTTTTGATAATATGGATACCTATATGGTCTGAGGTTAGGGATCTCCGCTCCCTCCTTCAAATTGATCGCATGGTCTTGCCTTCTTGACGGGGGTAGTCCCTGGGGTTCCCTGAAAACCTCCTCAAACTCCTCCAAGAGTTTCTGAATACTGTCCGGAATGGCTCTCATCTTCTCCCCTGACTCCGTTTCTGCCACACAACATTCCACCCAATAGATTTCGTCCTCCTCCTTCAGTTGCTTGAGGGTGCCTTTCAAGGGTGCTTCCAACACACTCAAAGAAGAGTCCCCCTTGATTAGATAGACCCCTCCTCCCACTCTAACCTTTAAGGTTAATTTATCAAAATTAGCCTTAATTTCTCCCAGCCCCCTCAACCATTCCATTCCTAAAATCACGTCAACCCCATCCAAAGCGAACAGATAGAAATTCTGCCTCAACGGAACCCCTTGTAACTCCATTTCCAACCCTGAGCACATGCCCTGCGCCTTCACACTATGCCCATCCCCTACCTTCACCCAATACGGTTCAGTTCTCTCCACCTCCAGCCCCAATTTCCTTACCACTGAATCAGCAATAAAGTTGTGGGAAGCCCCACAATCCACCAAAACCAAAACTGAATTATCACCTATCTCCCCCCAGCATTTAAAAGAATGTTTTGAAGTCATTCCCACCATGCTCCGAAAATCTAATGTTGTGGTGGATGGTTTACCACTCCATTGGATTTCCTCCTCTTCATCTTCCACTACCACGCCTTCTTCTAACAGCATTATTCGAATTTGCTTGTTTTTGCACACATGTCCCGGTGCATACTTCTCTTCACATCGGAAGCAAATCCCTCTTCTCCTCCTGTCTTGGTACTCCGCATCTGTCATGCGCCGCCAATTTGTTCTTCCTTCTTCCTTCGTCACCGTAGGTTCCTCTTGCTTCCTCTTCTCTTCCTCCCTCCGGCTGCCATAAATGTTCTTGCTCCATCCCCCTCTGTTATTAGTAGCAGACGATCCACCCCCTTCTTTCCTGAGAATAGAATTTCGGGACTCTATCAACAGGGCCAAATCCATAATTTCTTCTAATGAATTGAGTTGATGCAACCTCAATTCCCCTTTAATCTCCTCCTTGAGACCATTCAAGAAAATCCCCTTCAAATAATTGGTATCCCCGATCCGGAGAGGCCCAGAATTTGCCTCGAATTTTTCCCTGTAATCAGCCACACTCCCTTCTTGCTTAAGGCCCAACAATACCTCATACGGGTTTTGTACCATCTCTGGCTGAAACCGTCTCAACAAGGCCCCTTTGAGACCCACCCACGCAGAACTCTAAAATATCTACATGATTATTTTTATTATAACAATGTAAAATAAAAGAAGAGAAAGATAAAACAAGAGATTGATGAGTAATACCTCGTAACAAGCTTTATTGGATCTTCAACTATGGAGGTTTTAGGTGCTTTGTGGCAACCTTTCACACTACAATAAGCCTCACAAAACTCAAGAAGTACAATAAGAGAGAGAGAGAGAATAAAGGGAGAAATTTCGAGCTCTATGGAGCTTTGGACGAAATTTTGGAGGTCCCTTAACTGTTGCCCGAGATCGTTCCAAAATCGGAACGGGCCGTTCCCAAGTCCGGAACGGGCCGTTCCCAAGTCCGGAACGGGCCGTTCTCGATCAGAACGGGACGTTTTGGGCTTCTAAAATGCCTAAAAAGATATAGGTTGGAAAGGGCTCTCTTATATATATATATAGTAATGACAAGGGAAGGGCCAAATAACTCTGATGGAAAGAGATATTTGATTTTTCTTGCATCTTTAGATTGTTAAAGCAAAGTAAGAAAAACGGCTATACTTCCTGTAATGAATGCAACTAGCTAGTCCAAATCAGATGTGCAAATCTTAAAATTGTTAACCATTCTACTTCTGCACATATTGTAATTAAAATAGTATATTCATTTTAGAAGGATTATCCAGTATGTCTCTTTTAATAGTATTGAGTTTTCTCTAATCAATTATCTTCAAAAGAAGATTGAGATTCTTTGTTTTCTTTTTATATTTTTTGGCCAACCTATGATCAATTATCTTCCATTGAATGTGATGCTTCTTACAATCAGCAGAGGGAAAAGAAATGATCGTAGCGACATTTATAAAAATCACCATTTTGTTTCACATAATTTATATCTAGTTGATTACCTCATACACTCGCAGCACTTTTTTCATTTACATTTAATGTAACACAACATTCTTTGCGTTGGCAGTCTCCATTCATAAACAGGTATTACGGAAAGGCTCACGAGGTTCTGTAATTGGATTCAAGACGATAACAACTTCATTTGCAGGCTCGTTTTACCTGCCAATAGAGATTTAGTTATTTATGACGTTCAGAAGGCAACCACCTGGTGCCTTGTTAGCAGTCTGATGGGAACATAGAATGTAAAATGAAACTCAGAAATCCCAGAGAAGTAAATTAGATGTTAAGATAGGAGGAATATATGGGATGGATTTCTTATTTCCAATTTGTAGAGAATTTCCGAGATTCAGGAGCCTCAATTTGTGTGGCTCTTGCTTGTCTTGGTTTCACTTCTCAGATTCTTTGTCCATTGCTAAGTTGTATGGCAGATTTTTTATTAGAAGCTAAATGAAAATAAATTAGTTATTTAACATCGAAGTATGAAAATGTATGTTCAGGGGACTGTTTGTTGGATTCCTTGAATGAGATATTTAAGAGTTATTTCTGAGGAGGTTGTGTTATGCCGCTAATTTCACTTTTTTTTTTTTTTTTCCTGTTTCAGAGTATAATTCATTATTAACCAATATGGTTTGACTGGATCTTGACCTTGGGCCCTGAGGTCAAGGAGCCCAAGCTGAAGGGCCAACCACTTAGGCCCTGCTGGGAGCTGACTGGGCAAATCCCCAACATAACGAGAGAAACGATCCTTCTTGATGTTTCCCAGCTATGAAGGGTTGTGGCTGATGCTAGCACCAATCAAGATGATATATATATATATATATATATATAGAGAGAGAGAGAGAGAGAGAGAGAGAGAGAGAGAGAGGTTATAATAACACTGGTATAACTTTTACTAAGTGTTACACCATTCAATAACTTTATATTAATTATGAATTTTGTAAATTCAATCGTTAAATTGAAAGTTCATATTACCTTATACGTGTATATCAAATTTTGTTAAAATTGAACAACTTGAAGGTAATCAAAGTGTTCATATTTTAATGTATTTTGAAATGAATATATTATGTCAATTTTGTTTTATAAAAATGAAGTATCAAATCATCTTGGATTAATATAAAATTTTGTATATATGATCTAAGAGATATGAACTTTCAATCTAACAGTTGAATTTACAGAATTTGCATTTAATATAAAGTTATTGAATAGTGTAACACTTAGTAAAAGTTATACCGGTGTAATTATAACTCTCCTTATATATATATATATATAATTTAAAAACAATGACAATAGGGGTGAGCATTAACCCAACACCCAACCTAAAATTGAAAAAAATAGAAAGGAAAAAGGTAATTGTGTAGATTTGAACCAATTATCAATTTAGATGAGTTAAAAAAGTGATTTAAAATCGTTAATTTTGATCGGATTTAGTTCGAGTTTTTGAATTTATTGGTATTTAAATCTAATCGTTTAAACAAAATAAAGATCAAAACAATTATCATTTAGTCTCAAAAGATAAATTTATTGTTTCATTTTTAATCTTTATTATGTACAAAAAATTCTAATTGAGGGTGTAGTTTGTAACTTCCTTTTTTATATCATATACTTAAAAAAATTAAAATATTTAAATTATTTAAAATTTGAATAATTTTATTCATCTTGAGTCTAAACAAATTAAATAACATTTGAAAGACTAAATGTATAAAAAAGGATAAAAAATTTGAAAAGAAAGAGATAATAAATTTGATAAAAGCTTTATTTAGACCAAGTAAATGATTCAAAGTTTAATATATCTATATAATTTAATTTATAATTTTAATCTAACTAATTTTTGTTATAATTTTATTTACATGTTTTGAAGAATATTGTTAACACATTATCATGATTTTCAAAGTTTAATTATAACTTTTATTATATTAAATTTTTTAAAAGTTTATTTACAAGAATTAAATATTTTATAATCTTCATTTATAAAAATTGTTATGTTAGATTTTTGTAATGTTAAAGATTTGACAAATTAATATTATGTTTATTTATGTGAAATGTCATCTTTTTATTAATTTATTTGTTTTATACATAAATAAAATACAAGTCGTGGATGTAGATATGAATACATAAGTTGGGTACAAGAATGATAATTAAAAATATTACCCACATAAATATGAGATTAGATGTATGTATTATTTTTAAACACAGGTATAAAAACAAATACTACAAAATCCTATCCAGACTTTATCCATTGTCAACCCTAATTGGACTTGCAAAGTGCAAATACATTGAGTTTGAACAAGAGATATTTTACAAATTACAGCTCATGAACTGAGTTTTCTAATAACTCATTTTCTGACTAAATTCTCAATCCAAGTTACAAGAAATTTAAAATGAAACATTTCAAATAGAGAACAATTTTAGTACACTATTAATGCAAACAAACTTCCACTACAAAGTAATTAGATAACATCCTATGTATACCTTTTAAAATAATCATTACCGAAAATTGAAGTTTTCAATAATATAATTAACAATTAATAAATTGAGAATGTAAAATACATTTGCGCAGCAAATCATTATAATTAAATATATATATCCCAAAAAATTACATCTCCTTTAAGGACTCACTGGCAGATTCTTGTATAATAAAAGAAGAATCTAGCAGCAAATGCAAAGCAAGGCGGTGCTCACGATACGACACTAACTCATTGCACAACTTTAAATATTACATCATAGCATAAAATAATTTGCAAAACATGACCTAAAGAAAACTATATGCGGGCAAAATACAACCGATGGTGATTGGTTACATGGCTAACCACAAAATACATAAATGTCTTCCACGACCAGTGCTTTACCATTCGGATCCGTCGAAATCTGACCCCTTCAACGTAAAATGGTCTTTCCATTGACCTAGGGTAGCAAAAGGCATGAGACCACAAAACAGTGGTAGAAGCACAAGCATAGCACCATAGAACAGAACCCTGCGAATCCAATATCGAAAAATTGTATTCTTCTCTGTCGTTTGTGGTGCAGTGACTGATCCATGAAGGATTGAGTACAAAGCGGATGTCCAGCAAAGAGATAAGAAATGCAGCAAACACAGGATCTCCCAGTAAAAGAGCCACACATCACCCCTCCCTCCCAGTGTGTCTACACACATCTTGCCACAATAGCCACAACCAACTCCTAACATTAAAACGATGAAAGTAACTGGCATAGTCTGCGATGACGTTGTTGAACGCTGCAGGAGCAAATATGCAACTGCAAAAATCATTAAGACACCAAATGCCATTCGGCTCATTACTTGAACCTGACACCACAAAATATTCAACCTTGAATTGAATGACGTTACTGACTTAGGAGTCCACCACGAGGAAGATTCCTAAAATGGAAAAAAAAAAACCAACATTAATACCACACAATTGTGCAAAGGCAATGCTGGATTAAATATGCAGATGAAATCACTGAAGTACAGTCATAATTACATCTTATTTTACGTAGTCTGTATCTTGAATCTTAAATTAGAGCGGACATAAAAGGAAAGATGATAAGTGGAATCTTTGATCATGACAATTCACACAGACTGCCTTTGAAAAGAAAAACTAAACATGGAAATCTTAAAAACAGAAAACTTCAACAATATACTCCCTGTCCGTTATTTTTCACCAAACAATTTTAGAACAAAGCTACTCTAATTCTAAAAGATTACTTAGCCACTAAATACAACAGAAAACGATTCTGCACCAATCAATAAATGGCAACTGATTAGAATTTTAGAACCTAATCAAGGCAAAAAATCTGAATAACTCTCCCAAAAATTGCTAACCAAAGCATGATGCAATATATTCGGTGCCTCACATGCACCAAACAACTTGGAACCAGGGAAAAACAAAAGATTATATACTTGCCTGGGTTGATGGTGTACAAGATTCAGTAGCTTCAGTAATCCGTTCGTAGGAATAAACATAAGCACCATACAAAAGTGAGGATGACATAATAAGCAAACCAGTAATAAGACAGTCTATGCACTTCTTTTTGAGTTCACCATGCCTCGTATCTTCCAACTGGGTCTTAAACTTTTCAGCTTTGAAAGATGCCTTCGATTCCCCCATGGCTAATTTGGATCTGTTTAGATTATTCGAATCATGTTTGGCAGACAATGCATCCTCTTTCAATTTCAAGCTTTCCATATAAAGGTCAAGTTCCCGTGTCTTGAGTTCATTAGAACGCCACTTGAGTTCATTAGAACGACACTTGAGTTCATTAGAACGACACTGCTCCATGACAGACTTCTTAATAAGACTAACCATGAGATTATTTACAGATCCAGAAAATATTTGAGAAAAAGAAACCATTTGGTTTGATTGCCCATACGAAGTGAGATCACGGCTAACAGAACCCATATGACAGATATCCCTGCCCTCTTCAGGAGAATCAAGACTAACTGAATCCGTATGAAAGTTATCCCTGACCTCTTCTGGAGAATCACGACTAATTGATTGATTTTGTATTTCAACATGGGATGGCCTTGAATAAGCATCCTCTGTAACAATATCACCTGAGCATACTCCTTTGTCAAAAATCAATTTAGAACTCCGAATTTCTGCATTTGTATCATTTAATATATTTCCTTCATTGCTCTTGGATGATTCATAGATCAACTGAAGAGTACTCAACGTGCTACTGAAAGATTGTTCAAAGTTGCTCATCAAACCATCTAGCTTGTCTCCAAAAACCTGTTGCCGGATATGCAGAAGGCAAAACAAGTAGCACGCAGACATTACTTCACAAATTGGACTTTTCCTAAAGTTGACATGAATAGCTAAAGAAACATAGAAAAACTGCAAACAAGGGATGAATCAACAATTGATGTCTGGCTTACACTGGCAAGAGATTCTTTGATAGCCGAAGAGCACATCTACAATTACAACAAATAACTCAATGAGTCATCTCTAGAGTCAAGATATGCTTTACAAACAAACGCACACAATGATATCAAATAGAGCAAACTACATTAACTCCTACTGAGGTTTCGCCAAAGCTTCCGATCCCCCTTCCTCTTTTACCTCAACATTATGCCCCTTTATTATTTGAAAAACATTACATTCCTACCCCTTATACATTACCCTGATACCCTTCAATTGTTAGAAAAACATTACACCATATAGCCAATCTAAAGAAACCTCAAGCGGAGTTAGTGTATTTGCTGAATCAAATATTATTCAATTTTACTTCAAAAAACAGGGAAAAAAAATTACCATTGAAAGATGATTGGGAGACATATCCTCAGCTGCTCCATCTTTTCTATACAACACCTTAAAGAAAAATAATAACAAAATCTTATGCACAATATCAAGCAATGATTAACCGACAAAAATTAAAACAGTTTCATATTTGATTGCTTTAGCGTCATCTCTCGTTATATAAACACGTTACAACAGTCCATGTAAGACATGTCACATTAGTATCAAACCAAAAAAATACAAAATTAAAACTAACATTCATTAATCAGAGGAAAAATTGGAACCAATAAAAAAAAACAGCATGAAGAAGCAAAACAATTGATAGAAACTAGTTGTTAAATAGAACCAAGCTTTAGCATCATCATTTACCTGAGCCATCACAGCGGCGAACGACATTCCGAGAGGAAGGCCAATGGTGTCCACATTATTAGCCCTATGGCGGCGAACAAGAACTCTAGAGTTCCGTCGCTTGAATGCCGCACCCTTACCTTTACCCTTTCCTTTTCGAGACGAACTCGACGACGTCGTTTCGGAGGCTTCCGAACTTCGCGTTCCGTTCTCCATCGAAGCCTTACTCTCGCATTGGTCGATTGCCGCTTCCGAGGAAGAATTCTGAATCTCTGCCATGTCGTCGCGAGACGCAATTTCAGTGCAGAGACGAAGCATCCATGAAATTTAAGTTGCAACGGCCAACGAGAAGAATGAAGAACCCTTGAATTTGAAGTGGCTAACGTTACAGAGCAATGATTAGGGCACGCGAGAGAGTGTTTGTTTTTCACTTTTGGGTTCCCACTTCCCTCTTACCTTCTTTCTTTTTTGCCGCGTTTTTCTCGTATTGCTTACGCCCTACTTTTTCATTTTTCTTTTCCCCAAGATGGAAAATATTTATAAATTCTAGCCAATATATTTACTATTTATTATGCTCAAAATATAAAATCTGTTTACTATATTTTTTAGTATGTTTGTTTTATCGGATAGAAATATTACGCGACAATGATCAAGATAAATCTTTAGATTTTGTGTATCTATTTCCACTCTAATACTTACCCGACCTTCTTTTTTTTTTTTTTTATCTTTTGTATTTATGTATTTCTAACTTTGTGAAAGTTTATTTCCTTGTTACCATTTTTTTTATTATGTTGTACATCAAAATAATTTTTATGTGAATATATATATTAGAAGCATATATAATGAAAATATATTTTACCACGATAGATAAAAATAACATTTAAATTATAAATAATTAATGATTGAAATTAAAATTTAATTATGAATTTCTTCAATTTTTATAATTATTTTCATTATCATTGATTGACATGATCATTGTTATTATTAACATTATTGTTATTATTATTATCATTATTATTACTACAACTAATATCACCTTCGGGTAGCAATAATGATTAGTAATATTAATTATAATAATATTGGTACGTAGTGATTGACAATGATAGTGAATGATAATAGAGGTATCATGGTTAACATTATTGATGTTACTATTATTTTTAATATTGTTATTAATTACAATGTTATTATTATTTTTATTGTTATTATTATTATAATCATGTTGTCATTTGTTATTAAAACAAACTTGCATTTTACTTTGTACGTTTTTTTTAATCTAGATTCTCAATCCTCACTCACCACATAGTAAGTATAAGGATACATTATTATTTTTTTGTCATTTATCTTATTTTTTAGATTATTTTTGGTTATTTATTTGTTTAAATATTCATTTTTTGTCCTTTAATTTTTATATTTTGGTTGATTTGTTTTTTTAAAATAATAATAATTTTTAATTTTACATCACAAGTTTGAATAAATTATTGATTGATTCAAAATGTAAAACTTGTAATATTAAGTTTACCTACGTGAAAACAAAGAATTCAATTAATGTTCGAATACAAAAGGATTATAAAACAGTAAAAATTATGTGAAAAACATATTTCTCAAATAATTAAAAAAATAACATGAAATTAAGGGGGTGTATTGGATTAGGATTTTAAAGGATTTTTTTAGTTAAAAAAAATCCTGCGAATTTTAAAAGACTTTACAGGATTTTCATGACTTTTACGATTTTACAAGATTCTACAAGACTTAAAATCAGGATATTAATGGATTCTACAAGACTTTTAAATCAGGATTTTAATGGATTCTGTGGGATTTTGTAGAATTTTCGTGAATTTTTGACATTTGATAAGATTTCAAAAAAAAAATTCATACATTCAAATTTAAAAAAAGTCAAAGACAAAAATAATAAAAAATAATAATGTCTAGATAAATAATAATAATAATAATAATAATAATAATAATTCTCCATAATATTTTATCCTCTTAAATAGCATTCACCCACATATTCATAGCTATACTAGTCCTCCAAGCATTAGCGTCTTTTCGCTCTTGCTCCTGAGTTTGAATAATAGGTTCAAAAGTATGATCTTCATTAACTGGTAACATTGAAGATGAAGGTTCATCCACCGCTTCAATTGAAAATTCATCAGAACAACATTCTTTACGTAGAAAGATATGTATTGTTGCACATACTAACACAAGTTCTACTTGTTTCTTAAATAAAAATGGAGGTGCTGACTTAAAAATTGTGAACCTTGATTTAAAAATACCAAATATTTTCTCGATTACATTCCTTAAAGACGCATGACGAAGATATTGAACAATTCTTTCTCATTTTCAGGCTCATTACCCTGACCTGCAAAATCTTGTAGATGATATCTTACACCTCGAAATGGAGCGAAAAATTGGCGTCGATTAAGAAATCCACAATCCACCAAAAAAATATTTACCTAATTACATATGCAATATATATAATATTAGTATAATAATAATAATAATATGTAATCAGATGTTTAGCTGCTATTGACTGACAATTTAGGATTTTTATTTTTAGTATTGGATGACTGTACATATTTCTAAGACTTGTTATATATATTAATCTTAGGTAGCTAGACATTTTTTCTCTGCAAATAAAGGACTTCGTTAAGTGTAAGAAAGAATAATAAATAAAAGAGTTCTTCATTAAATTAAAAAGAAAAAAATGATTTCAAACAAATAATATTATTATAAGGTCTTCAATTAGTTTATAAAAATAAATTATAAATTTCTAAAATAAACTTTTATGTTAAATAACTTTATTTTAATCAAATTAATGTATAAATTGACAATAAAAAAACTTTTTTAAATATTTTGTCAAATACATCTTTTATATATATATATATATATATATTGTAGAGATTATGATATCAATTTCATTTTTCACCTTTTTTTTTTCTTGACGTGTGTTATAAAAAAATTACCACTTAAAAATTGAAATTTCAAACATTTTTGTGTGTTATATAATTGAACAAATTCAACTACATAGAATAAAATAAAGCAAGTCAATTAAAAAGAACGAACAGAAAAATAGAGCAAATCAATGACACTGTCATGTACATATCGGAGTTTCACAAAATAAGGGAATGAGATGAGAACAGTACTACAATATTATATATGAACAATGAAAAATAGTGTCGTATTATTAGTAGAGAAAGAATGGAGAAGACAGGAGCATAAAAAAAAAGGTGAAAAACTCACTTGAAAATTCTTGAAAAGTCACTTCAAACAATCCTTCAAAATCCGATGGGTTTGGATGAGATTGTTTTATGAATTTGGTATTTATAGATAACACTAGAAAATCCTTCAAAATCCTTCAAAATCCCTTTCACACAACAATCCTTTAAAATCCTTATATTTTTGAATACCAATGAATTGTTTTTAAGTTGTAAAAAATCTCAAATGAATACCAATGGATTTTAATGGACTCTTTAAAAAATCTTGAAAATTCAGATTAAATACCACTGGATTGTTTTTAAGTGACATAAAATCCTGATTGAATACCAATGGATTTTTTTACTCAAAAAAAAGTCTTTTAAAATCCTACAAAATCCTAAACCAATACACCTCCTAAAACTTTGAGTTTTTCAAATTTTGTTTACTTATTTTTATGCAATTTTCACTACATTTATAACACTTATTTTTGTTAGAATTTCAATTGTGTTCAACACTTTACATATAATTGAATCCAATTGGACAGGTTTTGAGTTAGTTAACAAAGGTTTCAAAATTGTATCTCCAAATTAAAAACAATCATATTTTTAAAACAACCCAATCAACTCAAATTAAGAAGTAAATGATCAAAATGAATATTTTTATCAAAAAATATTGGTCCAGAAAAAATCTTAAAAATAAGATAAAAGACAAAAATATAATTTAATCTAAATATATTTATCTAATAGCATCATTATTTTAGGTAAATTACATTTTTGACCTCTATAATATTTAATCCATGATTTTTATCTCTAAACTTTAACTCTTCAATTTTATAAAATTTACATATTTGGTATGATTGATAAATATTTATTTGCTAACAGTTGATATGATAACATTATTTCTGATCATATACTAAGTAGATGATATGACATTTAATATTAAGTTAGATTACACTTTAATTTATTTATTTTTATCTCATAAAAGTGATGAAAAAGATAAAATAAAGACTAAAAGTGTAGCTTAATCTAAATATTATTGTTATATCATATATTTATTATAAGCTAATGATCATCGTGATAATTTTAATAATTAACAAATGAATATTATTATTGATACTAAATATGTGAATTTTATAAAATTGGAAGACTAAAATTATGAAATTAAAAATTGGAGGATAAAAAGTGATTTGTTTACAACTTCTCTGATAGCATTCTTTAGCTAAGTAATTAAATTAAGCTCCATTCTTCGATTAAATAAAAAAAATATAAGCATTTCTTGGTAGGATTGTGACAATGGTACTGATACCTTAGTTTGTTTGACTCTTCATATACTTCTATATCGTCCCGTTCATGTCATTATTTGATTAGCTAATGAATGCTATAATCATCGTCTATTTTGTCCATTCCGATTTCACTATAACAAGTTTTGTAAACATAATCATCTTGATCATTTTTTCACTCCCTTTTGGCCTATCATTAATCTATTATAAAATACTTCTTTATTAAATAAAATATTTTATAATTGATTGTAAAACTTATTAGTCATATCTAAGATTCGTCTATGTAACATATAATTATGTATTAGCATTGAAAATATCATAATATAGAGCAATGTTTTGTATGCAATAATTTTGAAACTACATTCATTGTTCCTATTATTATTGTATTTTTTTTTTTGTTTGAAGGGGAAGCTTTGCCCGAAATTGACTTCCATTGATTTGTTCAATAAATAAGTTGGTATGTGTCATCGATGTGCGTGTTGGATTTAAATTGCACAGATCAAACGACAGGTTTTTCTAGGTGGTTATGCAAGTAATACGAGTTTCATATCCTGAACGCCTTACTGCATGATCATGGTTGTGCGCAGAGTGTATTGAATTCACGTTGTCTGTTTCACAGCCTCCAATGTCTTTATTTTCTGCTGTTTGCTATTTTGTCACTCTGGTTGTCCATTGGAAGAAATTAATTATTCTCTTTTGTCTAGACTAGTGTTTCATCTAGGCCCTTCTCCGAAGTATCAATATGTTAACATATACATAATTAACGTCGCATATGATGTGAGGACCTAATACGCCAAGAATAGCAATAAAAGTGATAAGGATGGAGCGGAATATGTTAAGGGAATCCCATATGGTAGATGGCTTGCAGTCTTCGTGAAGGACGGCAATTTATTATGGTACCCACATGGGCATGTTCTGTTATCTCCATGTGTCTCTCTCCAAACGAGAATTTTCGATCTCGAAATAAACTCATTTGACTTTGGTCTCTGGAACTTG